AATTTAGTAATAAACTACAGACAGTTTCATGTGGATACTGAAACGAAATGTTCTTTTGAAAGCGAATAAGAGCAGATACATCTCAAGGTCTGAATTTATTCTAGGAAAACATGACTGCCCTAAATTTGCTTAAAATTCCATCAGTCACTAAATTTTACAAAAAACGAAATAAAAGAACATGACTCCAAAAACCAAAAAAATCTTGCAACCCAGATGTTTTTCTAGAGGCCAAAGGTTAAACTATCCCAATATGTGAAGGAAAACTAAAATCTACAAAACAGATCATTTCGCTTTGTTTCAAATGGGAGGAATTTTTAAAAAATCTAGCAATGTAGATATTCCTAAGAAGAATCACACAATTGATGGGCTAATGATTATATTAATGGTCAATTTTTAATAGAAGAAGGTTCAATCTATTACAGATCTGTAGGAATATGCTTTGGTTAAAGCAGTGGGTTTATATGCCTGGGAGGAGTAAAATTAAATTTCTCTTAAAGCCAATCAAGTAAATGACTAAGTTCAAAACCTGATGACCAACAAGAGTTAAGTGTCCTGGTTCAGAATGAACCCAAAAGAATCACAGTTAGGGGGAATCCTTCTTCCCCACCCCCAATGTTTCCTTTCATGTGGAGGCAGCTCCGATAAATTGAACACTCCTGACTTCTCTCCATCCACTCACTTTCTCCTCCCCAAGAGGAGGTGTGGCTTAAGGCGACTGGTAAGCTGAGAGGGAGAAACTTCTTGAGAAGTAGCTGTCTGCAGGACACAAGCATCTGTTATTTCTCCAGTTGTAAGATGTAAAGGGGCCCGGCCTCACCAGAGGGAGCCTATGGTGGTCCAGCATTGCATGGGACTGGGTCAACAAATCTAGCTAATTCTGGAGTTCAATACTGGAAAGCTCATTTGCCCTCCAGTTCTCTAAAATTGGTTTTATCAGTAAATAAGGTAATATTTTGATCTCCCAGCTGTCTTATCCTTGTTTCATTTCTCAATGGATTCAGAACTCAGTAGGGGAAGACGAGGGGAAGCTGTATTCTGAAAACTGGAAACTGTCAGAACAAAGCTGGATTTGAAAAGAAACAGGAAAAGAAGTAAAGTAAAACCTGAAAATGAGTGCTGAGAAAAAGCTACTGTGTAC